TGTGTGTGTGTGTGTGTGTGTGTGTGTGTGTGTGTAGAAGAACGGAGATGTAGACCAGATTGGTGCAGAGGGGCTATGAGGATTCACCAGAGACAGAGTGGGGACAGAGAGATTTACTGAAGCACACTGCTGAGGGGAGCAGTGGGCAGGGCAGGAGAGGTCTGCTGTGCCATGTAGGATCTCCTGGCTGGGGATCGAACTCAGGCCATAGTGCTGAGACTTAGTCCCAAGGCCACCAGGAGGCCCCAAGGGATTTCTTTCTTTGTGGCTGCCCATCAGGGAGCTAGAATGATTGTTAAAGTTACCCAGGCAGGCAGGGCAGGCATTCTGGATGTGTGAATACAGACCCACAGGGAAGGCCATCTTCTCTTTCTTGAACCCTCCCCCTCCAGCCAGTATCTCATTCGTCTTGAGCCATTTTCCTCTTCTGGGAAGTGAGTCCATTAGCTCACAGCCTGTCCTCAGTGGAAGTGAAGAAGCCTATTAAACACCCCAGCTCCATTACTGGCTTGTAACTAACTGTTCCCCAAAGTGAGGGTTCCCTTTAAAATATCCCTCCCATGGTAGCTGGCTGAAGGACACACTGGATTTCCTTTGCCAGACTTTATTTCAATTTTTATATTGATGAGAGCAGCAAAAACACTCTGCTTGCTCTCCCTCCTTCACTGTTTGAAAGTGAATCATTTAAAGTGACTATTCCTCCTACCTGAGAAGCCAATCTCCATCTCCCTCTTCCTAATTAGACCCAATAAAAAATACAAGCCAGCATTCATATGAGAGGGCCATACTGGAAAATAACCCCCAAGCCTTAGAAAGCAAAATCAAGACCAAATCAATGACAACCTTTGATTCAAAAGGGGCCTGTTAGTCCCTCCCATGTCACCGACAGAACTGAGGGAGGGTTCAAAATGTTCAAAGACTTCTAGAGTTTGGAGGAAAGCATTCCGTTTGCATAGAACCTTTTAGAAGAGCAATATGTTCTCCAGCCCTGCTTTGCAGATGAACAGGATTCTCATTCAGCCAGCTCCACCATTCTAGGAGTATACCTTCTGAGGAGCTGTTTCTCTCCTGGAGTTTAATCCAATAAATTAAAGGAAGGAAAGACATAAACTAGAGCTGTCTAGTTATGCAGTGGGGCTTGGACAGTTGTATGACTATGAACCTGGCTGCCTAACACTTGCTTTCCCTGGCCAAGGGAAGGGACCCTGGGAATAGCATGCACATTTCAAGCAGCCACTCTCACCACCCCACCCCACCCCACCCCCATCCGCCCAAGTCCGCTCCTCCTCCATTCTACACACTAACCACCTCCCCAGTGTCCACTAACCACCCACCCAGCCTTACTTGTCAGTTTTCTTGATCAGGATAGCTCTGAAGATGTGTTCCAGGGGTGTTTTCTTCCGCTCTTGGGTCGGCTGAACAAAGGGGTGCAGTGTCACCAGGGAGAAGCCTTGCTGGTACAGCTCCAGAAGCTGGGCGGGCAGGTCTCTCAGGGAGGCCAGCCTCACCGCCGAGGAGCGAGGGAGCTCCGCTGGGAGAGGAGAGAGGAGCAAGTCAGAGGCCATCACAACCACCACCCTGGCCCGGCACGTCTCTCTCCCCTGCCCGCCAATGGATGGAGCTTGCTAAAACTGAGCTTGTTCCAGTTTTCAGGTTTTAACTACTGTTTTCAAAGAGAACATACAAATAGCAGGTTTTTGTTTTTGTTTGTTTGTTTGTTTGTTTTTTAACTCATCTGATGGCATTGATAGTTGGATGTTTTAAAACATAGAGTCAGTCTTCTTACAGGTCATACTGGGAGTCGTCCCTACCCCCTCAGAAAAGAAATAGAAAAAGAAAGTGGAAGAGACCACAATATATGGAAATATAAAATTGCCAGTTGGCAAAAAGCAGTATAAACAAAGTCAAGACAAACTGGGACACAGAGGGGTTATTGCATTAGTTTGCAAAGAAATTGCTCAACAAGACACAGACAGAAAGAAAAAAGGTCATAAAAGATGAGTCAATATCAAAAAGATACTCAAGTAATTCAACATATCAAATCCAATAAATATTTTACAGTTACTGACTTATTTTAAAATTTGGGTAAAATTTTTTTGAGAATTATAAGATACAAAAATCAAGTGTACAAATGTATATACAATGTCAAGTCTGCTTCTCTGCCCTATCCCAGACAATCAATATTATCCTTTTAAATCTTTTTTAAAAACACAAGAACAATCACTGAATTCATACACAGGTAAATAAATCTCTATATATCCGTCCCTTTTTATACAAATGGTAGCATAATACTATGCACCTGCCTCTTAATCAATTTTATCAGTTAACAGGATATGTTTCTTAGCCATCATTCAAAAGCAGTCCACAGGGTTCCTGTACATTCTTTCCACAGATGTGGTGTATCTTTGTGTGATGAACCACAGATTATTCTACTTTTTCTTTTATAAATTATGCTTTAATGAAAGACCCCACCGCCTACACAATTTCACATGTGTGTATGTATAGTATATCTAAAAAAAAATTCATTCCTAGTGTGGAATTTCTGGGCTAAAGGGCAACATATTGCAATTTTTCAGACTTGTGAGATTTCCTCCACATAGCAGTCTGGATTTAGCTCCCCTCAGGGGTGCCGACATTTCTCTTCCATGCCCTGGTGAATCTCATCCTGAAACAATGATCCCTATGAAGTGGCACTTCATAGTTTTCTTATTGTGTAGCCTGTTTTATTTTATATAAACATGTCATGTGTAAATGCTATCTGGGTTGTCTTTCTGTTGTGTGTTCGTAACCTTTGCCTAGTTTTCTCATCAGTCCTTTTTTCTATTGGTTTATTGAAACTATCTAGTAGAAGGTTTAATTTTCATTGGTGATATTAGTTGCAAATATCTTTCCCCAATTTTTGTTTGACTTTTTATTTTCCACAAGGTGGGCTTCACCATAAGGATTTTTTTTTAATGTAGCTCAATTAATCAATCTTATAATCAGTGGTGATTCCTGGTAATACATACTTTGTTTTTTGCTTGTAAATCTTTGATCCCTTTGGGGTTATGCAATATGAATTCAACATCCTCCCTCCAGGTTTGTCCATTTTTCCTCACTGACTTAGGATGCCACCTTTAACAAACATTAAATTCTCCTTACATTTAAGTACAATGTGATGTACATGTAATGTGATATATTAACCTATTTCAACAATTTTAGTTTTGCATCTATTTTGATATCTCTCCAGGTGTTTTCCTAAATGTTCCCAGACATTTACTTTCTGAATCTTCCTGTCTATTCTTATTTGTTTTCCTACAAGATCCTTCAAATTAGCTCAGCATATTCCCCCCTAAAAATGAGGGGATCTTGTTGACATTTTTTATTGAAATTGTAGCTTGGTAGAGGGAGAATGGTTATTTTCATCATGCTGCAAGTTCCCGTTTGAGAATACCGCATAATTTTTGTTTGAGTCTTCTTTTGGGTCCCTCCGGGTGTGATGAAGTTTCCTTCACCTTGATACTGCACACTAATCATACTTTTTCCAGGTACACTGATTACTATTGCAACAACAGACTTTTTTTTTTTTTAATTGATGATATTCACCATGGCAAGAATGTTGAGGAAACATTCTGTTGAAGGGATGACCCTTTCTGACCCATCCTCCCCTTAATACAGGGTATTAAGTTATGACTGGATCATGGATGGTTTTAAAGATACATGGACAAAGAGAGTCACTCCAGGGTTGGTTGAATTAGCAGAAATCTGGAACCAAAGAGCTCTTACTAGAGGACTAGAAAAATACTGGAACTGCCCAATAATGGGTCTTAAGGCCTAATAAGAAAAACAAGTAAGTCTGTTAAGTTCTGAAGCTAAAGGTCAGGCTGTGTTGATCCTATGATACTCCTGTATAAAAGAATTAGAAGTATAGAGAGACACCAACTAAAACATTTTTTTCTGGAAGAAACCACAAAAACAATATTGGAGAGTGAATGGAAAAGATAGGGGTGGGTGGAAAGGCAGTTTTTATTTTGTATTCTGAGTATTATTACCATCAACAGGGGCCACCTGGGAGTAGTACTTGGGGAAAACTTTAATTTCCTTCTTTAAAGATGTAAAAACAATATTATTGAGAAGTTATTCATCTATTTTTAGAATAATGTGTGATTTTAAAAAACACACACTTAGCAAAATCTAGGGCTACTTAAGAAAAGTACTTAACTTCAGATAATGTAGCTCTCATTTCCATACATCATACAGGAAACTTACAGGAAAAAAATCTATAACAATGATTCACTCCAAGTGTCCGGCCTCCTGGAGAATTCCCCATCAATAACAGCGACACATATTTGTTGGGCCAGCACAGCACAAAAGTAGGCAATCTTTCCCTTGCATGGGCATCTTCTGGATATGCTTCCACACAAAAAGCCTAACGGGGCCCTCCCTGGTGGCGCAGCGGGTTAAAGCACAGCACTGAGAATCTAAAGCTGCTTCCTCATGAGTTCGATTCCCGCCTGCCCCGAGGTGACCACATGGTGTGGCAGACCTCTCCTGGCCCGCCCTCTGCTCCCCTCAGCAGTGTACTTCATCGATCTGCCTGTTCTGCTCCCCACTCTGTCTCTGGTGAATCCTCTCACCCTCCGCATCTCTGGCCTGTACCCCAGTTCTGTATGAATAAATAAACAAATCTTTAAAAAAAAAAAAAGCCTAACGGTAGCTCCCTTCCTCCCATCCCCTGCACACAGAAGCCTGGTAAGGGGTCCCCAAGAAGCTGTGTAGCTTTGAAGGACTCCTGGCCTGCACCCAGCACTGCACAGCAGGGTCCCCCTGCACACAACTTGGCCCAGCAGCACATGGGAACTCTAGAAATAGACACTCTTGAGTCCCACTCTGGTCTTTGAGATTTGTATGTAGACTCTGAGGCTGAGAAATACTCCAGAGGGCTCCAACTGGCTCTCCAGCCATGCTCCTCTCCACTGGCAAAGTGCCCATGGATCTAAGGCTTTGCTCCCCTCTGTGACCCTCACCCCAAATTCACACAGCCAAGACCCTGCATGTCCCTGCCCTGACAGCCCCGGGGCCATGATGGGCAGACCTCTGGTCTGGGTAATGAGGGTAATGGGGCCCCCTGCAAGGTTGCACCCCCAGGCAAAATGAGGAGGGAGACTAGGGTAGGCAAGGGAAGGAGACCCTTGTCCCAGCGCTGAGTCCATAGGGCATGAGACAGTAACCAAGATCAATAAATATGCAATGCCTATGTTTAAAAATAAAAGAGTTAGTGCGGGTGAAAAAAGTTCCTGATGAACAAAATATGAACAGAAACTTTCATCAGGAAAGGATTGGGATGGCTGATTTGCCTCTGGCCTCAAGCTCCGGTGGCTGGCATACACTGTTCCTGAACCGTCTTAAATGTGGCTTCACCCTAGCAACCACCTCCTCTTGCCCCTGGTCCAGGGCCCTGCAAATGCAAGGAGCAACTCTGGATGTAGGCAAGCAGGAGAGGTTTCCGCTGCTGTCACAAGACTACAGAGCAACTGAGGCTGCTGTGTTAGAAAAACAGATGTTGTATTAGAAAAACATATGCGGGCCCTCCCTGGTGGCACAGCGGGTTAAAGCACAGTACAAAGAAGCTTAAGCCACTTCCGCATGAGTTCGATTCCCGCCTGCCGCCTGCCCCGGAAGTGACCACATGGCGTGGCAGACCTCTCCTGACCCGCCCGCTGCTCCCCTTAGCAGTGTACTTCATTGATCTGCCTGTTCTGCTCCCCGCTCTGTCTCTGGTGAACTCTCTCACCCTCCGCATCTCTGGCCTGTACCCCAGTTCTGTATGAATAAATAAATAAATCTAAAAGAAAAAAAAGAAAAATATATGCATCACACTTTCATTTTAAAAAATAGCAAATGGACTTCAGGGAGGAGTGTAAGCCTTTCTGAAGACCAACAATATCGATAAAACCTGAAAATACTATGCAGCACTAAGATCTGTTTTTCTTTGATAAAACTGTGTGTAAAGAGCATCTGTGAATCCTGAAATAGGAGACTCCAACTCAACCAGTTTCTACGGTTCAATATTTTGTAAATGTTTCAAGTTGTTCAAATTCTTACTCTTTATTAAGATTTTCATAATTTACACTTGTTTCCTCTTATGTGTCACACGATAATGAAAACAGTAATAAAAGGAGTCCGTGTGTTTGGGATGCTAATACAGGCTCACTATTGTTAAGAGTGGTTATGTATTATTAGTGTTGATAGTCTAAACCATTCCTCATGACAACTAATCCTGACTAGCGAAGGTAGTGTCCTAGTATAAAATGGAGATCATAACATCAGCCTGTCTTCCATCATGAAGTGACGGTAAATACCAACTGGAATGTACAATTGATAAAGTTCAACATTATCCACTGACGCCACTCTGGTATTGGCAATGGTGGGCGGGGAGTGGCTGGGGCTGGTCACTTGCAGATGGTAATGACAAGATGATAGGGACCATTAAGTCCTCCCACTCCTCCCCCACACCCCTTCCCCTCCAGGCACCGAAATCAATGCACTAAA